CCCCCAACCCCATCCCTTTAAGCCAGTTAACAACTGAAAGTGAAAATTATTAATGCAACTTTTATTGAATTTTATATAATTTCAGTCTCAAATTCTAGTGAACATTGCAATATAACAAAGCTGTTAATATTTTCTCACGATTATGCTCACCACATAAATAATAATAGAAGTGTCAGAAAATACGTCGCATGGGTGTTGTTAAGTTATTTCATAAATCATTTGTGGTTAATTTTATCCTTTAGTCCCTAAGCAGTCGTTCGTCGCTCTAGGGGCGTCATAGACAATGACTTCAGACGGGCAAGACGAAGGAAATAGAGACTGCTCACTGCGATCTTGTTACCTCGCAAGCCTTTATCGCCGATCCATCTTGGATATAAAAAATAAGTTCTCTTGATTCAGCTTTATCAATTGGTATTTCCCACAATGCTAGTGTTAAGAAACCACGACAGTTGGCATGGGTTTTCCTAAAGGTTTATTGTGGCATTTGTGTTGGTGTGAAGTGGGCGTTCTATATGCGTGCAGGATGGAGATTTCCTCTTTATTTTTCCGTCGCTCGTCTCAATTGCGCAACTTGAGTGGATCCTCGTCTTGCATTATTTTACGGATTTTTCATTCATCTACTGTCATTGTGATTAATGACATTATTTCATCAAAGACTGTCATTTGAATATAAATTTATATTCTTCAGTTCAATTTTCGATATGAGAAGACTCGTTAAAGGCCCCCGCACATGCTGGTGTCACTTTATAGTCGGCAAATCTTCGTCTCCCGTTATAATACCAATAAAATTCGAAATAATTCCTAAATTGTTCGTGTTTTTTTTAAGATGTGCTTATTTCGCTGTATTGACTTGGTAAAGGATCCTTAGTTTTCTTAGAAGGGGATCGAAGACGACGAAAAGACAAAAACATGAGCACCTGTCATAATTAAAGAAGAAGAAAACGATAAAGAGAATAATCAAAAATATCGCGCGAGAGACAAAAAATCATTTTGAAGCGCAAGGCAAACTGACAATTTTCCTATTTTCATTGACTTTCAGTGATGGTAAAATGAAAGTCGGTTCATTCCATTCCCGCGATATCCTTCGCATAATTTGTATTCGATAATTAGTGGTAGGGGTGGTGTGGTGGGGGGG